ACACACCTCCTGGGGGTCCGCGGGGGGGCGGAACGTGACGGGAACTGAGCTTGTGCTGAGCGTGCTGCCACGGCCCCGCTCAGCACTCACCACGCCAGTAACTCGTCCCTCACCAGAACATCAGGCGGAGTTTCCTGTCCCACTGGGTGGAGCTACAAGTTCTCCAAAAGCTCTGATGGGGCAGGAAGAGAAATATCCCCCCGCCCAGCCCCTTCTGTGCTGCAGAGAAAGATATCGCTCAGGGAGACCCCTCTTCTGCCTGAAAAATCATTTCACAGCATAACGTCCTCGACGCGGGTTCTTTCTTACCAGGATTTGATTATTTTTTTAGGAAAGTCTGAGCTTACCCGACCTTGGAGGGGCTGAATCAAGCAATCAGGATCCCCATTCTAAGTAAAGCTTGGCACCAGCTACGGGGTCCCACGGTGTGAGGCGGGGCTTGCCCAAGAGAGGAATTAAGCCCATGGGTGCAGGGAATCTCTCTCTGCTGGGAGAGCAGCCAGGACCATCTGACGGAGACGTTTCCCTCCCATCCTGAGGAGGGAAGCAAGCTGGTCATCCTTCCTGCAAAACAGCCCAAATTCCAGGAATGGGGCCCGGCCGGGGAGCAGCCCTGGAGACATCCCTTCCCATCACCCAGCCACGCACTGGGCTGCTGCCAGCAGCACTTTGGGGTTCCCCGCTGCACCCCGACATGCTCCAGCCTCTTTGCTTTCCCTCCCTGGCTGTTTTGCAATCCTTCCTGCATCCTGGCAGCACTTGGCCAGCTGCAAAAAGCCCGTGGCAGGCGGCCAGGCTGCCCCACTTGGCTTCACGGAGCCCTTGCCCTGTTTAGCCCTGCTCCTTGGTGTTTGGAGGAGCCCACCCGGGGAGCCCTGGGGAGGTGGGCAGGGAGAGGAGCCGGACCCTCCGTCCTCCCCGTCGCGGTGCAGTAGCAGTAGCCGGGAAGGCAGTGGAAAGGTCAGCTCAGTTGACCCCTAAGAGATACAGAAGTGGCGAGCCCTGGGGCGCCGGTGTCCCGGCACAAGGGTGGGAAGATGGGGAGGGGGCAAGACCAGCCCGGAGCAGCCCGAGGAGCGGCGGGTGAGACGCTTCCTCTGCAACCCCCCCGCTCGCGGTGCCTGGGCCACCAGCCCACGGCTCCGGAGCAGCGCCTGGGCCGCTGCGATAGACTGGAAGGGGACCCGTGAATTTGTTCAGATAGACCCGTGCTGAGTCACGGCTGGGAGGCCCCGCAGCTTCCCCCTCCCCGCCGGCGGGTCTCGGCGCACACCCCATCGCTCCTCCCCGCTTCAAAAGGCAGGAAAGGGCAAGGACAAGCCCCAGCCCTGCCAGAGCCTCCCCCGACCGTGCTCCGCAGAGGACGAACCAACTCACCACAGCAGTGATCCCTCCTCACGCTGCCGGGATGGAGAGTCGGCAGCTCACCGCCAAGGAGCCAGAGATCGAGCTCTTCGTAAAGGTGGGTCCCGAGGCAGATGGTTGCTCCTTGGCGGTTCTCCGCAGGCTGGTCCTCACCAGGCTCCAGCTGGGCATAGCTGGAGGAAATTTGTGGGTGTCTTCATGTTTCGGGACACTGGAGGTGGGTACCAAGTTTGGGATCATTCGCTGTGAAGGCTGCTCAGAGGAGAGGACCAGCCGGTGGCACGGGGACTGGTGGGGTGTCGTGCCCAGCATCCTAGAAGATGCCCTGGTCTCACAGGGGTCGCAGCCCCCGGGGGCACAGGACAGCCAGCAGCTGGTGTGATGAAGGAGCGGGCACACACACATCACCCGAAACCCAGATAAGACAAGCCCCAGCCTGGGAATGGCAAGCAGAAGGCTGAGAGCCACCACTCCAGCTCCTCCTGCGAGCCGGGTTGCGAAACGCAGCCGGGACGGCCCGGGAGCCGCGGGTGGGCGGGATGGGGCGGCTTCGCGCAGCAGCCCCGGGGATTGTTCGCTGGAAAACGCTCCCCCCTCCCATTAAGCAATCTTCTGAAAACGTCCCCTGGAACACTTCAGCACTCGAGTTGAAATATCTGGAAGTGGATACACAGGGTGTAGAGAGAGAGGAGGTGGCTGGTAACTGTGCATGCCAGCAGCGATGCCAGCAGGGCCCTGGGACGTGATGTCAAGTGACAGTAGCTGTGAGGGGTGGCAATGCCCCCTGTGCCACCACATCGAGCTGGTGTCCCAACACTGTCCCTGCAGCTGCTCAGCCCTGTGTGCTTTGCTCCTCTCCTCCTAGGGCAGCTTGGTGCCTGGCCAGAGCCCCCAGCTTTCCTGGAAATACATGCTGGAGAATACATTGGAAATACATGTTGGAAAAGATTATCTGAATCTTCATGGGAGGGGTCTCCTACATCCCCTTGCCAAAACCATGGTCACAGTGGTGCTTACCAGGCACCAAGCTCGGCTGAGCCAAATCCAGAGAAGTGTGCTTTCTTGGTGAAGGTAATTCAGGACTTGAATTCCCTTCTTAGCTCCGCTTTTTCCTTAGCCTGGAGAGAGGAGGAAAGTTATACATGAGAGGGCTGCAATGGTGGCAGCACAGTCAAGGGTTTTTTTAGAGGGAAGAGAAACAGAAAACAAAGCAGCAGCATCGTCAGGACTTCCCCTACACCTTAATTTAGCATGAAAAACACCCCTTCTGGCCCATCTGTTAACAAATCAATGCTGTGCCTCCTCCTACCATCCAGGACCCAGTCTGCCCGAGGTGGCAGCTGCAGCAGGGGCCCTCCAGTGCCACGGGCACCACACCTCTCCCGGGCCGGGTCTGCCAGGAGGCACAGCTGCGATAGCCCAAAATCACGGGGCAATGGCTGCAGTTCACTTGGTGAGAACGGGGAGGGTGCAAAGCAGCTCCCACATCACCCTCAGGATCCTCAGAGGGCTGGCAATGTCTCAACCTGCTGTGGTCCTGCTGAGAGCATCATTCCTCCAGCCGGGGCGCTCTCAAGGCTCTGATCCCCAGCCCCTCCAGGCACTCTGCCACCCCCCGAGGCTGCACCCCAGCTTTCAGTGTGGCTGGAGGAACCATGGGCAGGTCCTGGTGGGTGCTGGGCTCTCAGTAGTGCCTTAAGCAGGCAGAGCTCCCCCCCCACACACACATTTCATGCCATTTCACAGAGGAGGAAACCACAGGAACTGCTCAGTAACTGCTCAGTAACTTTGGGGTTTTGATGCCTCGTGCAGCCCTGGGAGGCCTCAGAGTGTTGGGGCTGAATACTTGCACATCCCTGGAGTACCAGCCCATGCTGGGTTTATCCCCCACCCAGAGGGGAGAAGCATGAGCACAGTCACTCTGGGGGTGTGCAGGCTCTGCCCCCCGCCCTCTCCTTGCCGCAGTGCAGAGGAAGAGGCTCCCTGGGGAGAAGGAAGTGGGGGGTGATGGCTTTCCCACCGCTCGGCTGGTGCTGGGGGGGGGGTCTCCCTGCCGCAGTGCAGAGGAAGAGGCTCCCTGGGGAGAAGGAAGTGGGGGGTGATGGCTTCCCCACTGCTCGGCTGCTGCTGGGTGTGGGGCTGCCAACTGCCCCAGGCCCCTTCCCCTGGGCTCCCCAGGCTGTGGGGGGCTCTCCCTGCAGCAGGTGGGTGCTGGCAGGGCCATGATCCAGCCCAGTGCCCCCAGCAGTGCCTGTGCTGGGGAGCTGCCCTCCACTTCCTCCAGACAGAGATGACTCTGAGCAACCTAGGATGGGGCTGGCTCAATCTTTTTTTCCTCTGCAGAGGCCATTCTGATTTTCCTTTCACTCTAGTCCAGAATTCCCCACCTCCAAAGGCCAAGGGGAAAACCAGCCGGCACTGCTCAGAGGCTGGAGCTACAAGACAAGCACAGAGAAGCCCAAAGCAGGAGAGCAGAGCCCGAGCCAGACCAGCCCTGGTGAGGGACACCCCATCCACCCAACCATCCCCTCCCGCTCTGCCAGGGCCACTCACTGCCTCCTGTGGGGCCACCAAGATAAGTGGCAATGAAGCCCCCTCAGTGCCAGCCTTGTGCTGTGCCAGGGAAGCAAAGGGGAGTGCAGGCCAGTCCTCTCTGCCACCAGCAAGGGCCATTGCCAGAGAGCAGGGAGGCAGGGGCTGGTCCTCCTGCTGGGCAGCTACAAAAGCAGCTCTGTGGGATTGGTGCTCCAAAGGATGGCATTGGTTTTGGCTTGTAGGTACCAGCAACGATGGAGAGGGGAAGGGGGGCCCTGCTGTTGTGCCAT